ATGGCGATGGGTGATTAAAAAAGAAGATGATGGAAACTTTTATTCCTTTCTTATTTTCTTGTACATTGATGGTGTGTTACGTGTGTCAAATGCATGTAAAAATGTAACAAACGAAAACAATTCTCGATTGGCCTTCAATCACCTTTTCTACGCAACGAGACCAGTTTGAACATGTAAGTGCAAATGAGGTAAGACTAAAAATGTGGAAAATAAACAATCATACAGTTTTTTTCATGTGGTTCATTATACTCACCTTGGCCCCTGACAACTGCATCTTCACAATTTGTCTCACCCTTTCTCAACAATTTATTCTGAGAATGATAGAGATCACTTAATAAAAGTTGTTCGTCTGCCACAAGATTTATTATTATTTTCTATTGTATAACTAGTTGGTTAACTTGGTTGTTCAGATCATCCAAGATTCCAAGCCAAAGTCATCACAGTTGATCGAATTTTCTTTCGAATAATTTCATGTTAGTTTGCTTTCTTTAGACAGACATAAAAAGTTGATATTATTAAAACTATATTATAATGGATTGGGTATCTTTTCAGTGTGTAATCGAAATATATATTTTTCCTACAGTTTTAAATTTCAAATGCAGGTTGTCTTCAAAAGAATGTAATCATGTTAAAATAGATTCATACACGATTATCTATATAATCAAATTAATTAAACTAGTAAACTGAAATATTATTTCGTGAATGTTATTAACTTTTCCTAATAGTGAAGCATATACATCCAATAAAGCATATACATCTATATAGTGAAGATTTGCTTTCCGGATTTCAAGATTTTTTACGTTCCTAGATTACAGAATGGCGCTTCTGATTCTCTAGCCAAGTTAGCTAGGTCCTTTTATCGTAATCTTCTGTACGTTGGTTGTTCTATTCCGGTCTGGTTACCCAGGCCACCTCATGTTGCTTGAGTAATAGATCAGCCGTTTGTTGCCAAAAAAAAAAAAAGCAAAAATGCAGAAGTAATTAATGGATTAATATGTCGAGTGATAAAGATAGTTAAGTAAATCTTAAAATTGTACATGAAGTTTGTCCTAATTATGATGAAATGGACTGTCAAGCTTATCATATCATATGATATATGGATTCATTCACACAACACAACTGAGCTGTGTTCCGTTCTCTTTTCTATAATCTCTGTGTTTATTTATTATTATGATTAATAATAAAATATTTATTCGTCGGTTGGTCGATCATTCAAGTGCCAAGCTGACATTTTAATTGGCGAAAAGAAAAAGAAGTCATCTTTAGTAGCTGGCACGAGCTTATCTTCTCTATTATTACCACGTGGCGGTATCATATTGGCTGGAACGATTCCTGAGAAGAGTCGACTTTTGGTTTGGTGCGACTTTAAACTACAACTGCAACTACTAGTTAAGATTTCATTACCGCAACGCCGGTTGATGCAAGTACCGACCAAACTGATACCAAAACATGACCGTTATCTCTTTCTAACCTGACGTATATTACGAAAGTACCCTTACTTCCTTCACTGACTGACTCTTCTCCTTCTCTCACTTGGATCTCCACATTCCATCGCTTCTCTCTCTCTCTCACATAAGATGCCAGCAATGCCAGGCCCAGTCAAAACGCCGGCCACTACCCCGCCGCTACGTGTTACCGTGCCAGACACGCAACCTTTACGAACCCCGATGAAGAAGACTCCTTCCTCCACACCATCTCGATCCAAACCTTCTCCCGGTAGATCCGCCAAAAAAGACTCGCCGGGCGTATCCTCCGCCGCCGCCGCCGTAGTCGACGTCGACGATTCGTCTCTCGACAATCCAGATCTCGGCCCTTTCCTCCTCAAGCTCGCTCGCGACGCCATAGCTTCAGGTGAAGGTCCCAACAAGGCCCTAGACTACGCGATCCGCGCGACGAAGTCCTTCGAGAGATGTTGCGCCGCCGCTGCTCCTGCCGTCCCCGGAGGAAGCGACGGCGGACCTGTTCTCGATCTCGCCATGAGTCTCCACGTCCTCGCCGCGATCTACTGCAGCCTCGGGAGGTTCGAAGAAGCAGTCCCGCCGCTCGAGAGAGCCGTCAAGGTTCCCGATCCGACACGTGGACCAGACCACTCTCTAGCAGCGTTCTCCGGACAAATGCAGCTGGGCGACACGTTGTCTATGCTAGGTCAGATCGATAGATCCATTGCTTGTTACGAAGAGGGTCTCAAGATCCAGATCCAGACTCTTGGAGAGACGGATCCACGAGTTGGTGAAACTTGCAGGTAACTTATCCAATTAATCAACGCCACGTGGATACTCTCTGAATCTCTCCCTCTCTACTGAATATGTTTTTCAGGTACTTGGCGGAAGCTTATGTTCAAGCAATGCAGTTCAACAAAGCTGAAGAGTTATGTAAGAAAACTCTAGAGATCCACCGTGCGCATAGTGAACCGGCTTCACTAGAGGAGGCAGCTGATAGGAGGCTGATGGCTATCATCTGTGAGGCTAAAGGAGACTACGAGAACGCACTCGAGCATCTTGTCCTCGCAAGTATGGCCATGATAGCGAGCGGGCAAGAATCCGAGGTTGCATCGATCGATGTCAGCATTGGGAACATCTACATGTCGCTGTGTCGGTTTGATGAAGCTGTGTTCTCTTATCAGAAGGCTCTCACTGTGTTCAAGTCCTCTAAGGGAGAGACTCATCCTACGGTTGCGTCAGTGTTTGTCAGATTGGCTGAGCTTTACCATAGGACGGGGAAGCTCCGTGAGTCCAAGTCTTATTGTGAGAATGCCTTGAGGATATACAACAAGCCGGTGCCTGGGACAACTGTTGAGGAGATTGCTGGTGGGTTAACCGAGATCTCTGCGATTTATGAGTCTGTCGATGAGCCTGAGGAAGCTCTGAAGCTGCTTCAGAAGTCGATGAAGTTGCTTGAGGATAAACCAGGACAGCAGAGCGCCATTGCTGGTATAAAAATAGATTAAAACCATATCTTTGGTCTTCAATTGAGTTTTAAGTACTGATCTTTGTGTTGTCAAGCTTTTGTTATATTAGTTTGGCTTTTGTATGTGAATACTTGTAGGGTTAGAGGCACGGATGGGAGTAATGTACTACACGTTGGGGAGGTATGAGGACGCAAGAAACGCCTTTGAGAGCGCTGTGACGAAGTTGAGGGCAGCTGGTGAGAAATCTGCTTTCTTTGGAGTTGTGCTAAACCAGATGGGACTGGCGTGCGTTCAGCTTTTCAAGATCGATGAGGCTGGTGAGCTGTTTGAAGAAGCAAGAGGGATTCTAGAGCAAGAACGTGGTCCTTGTGATCAGGACACTCTCGGTGTTTACAGTAATCTGGCTGCTACGTACGACGCCATGGGAAGGTAATAAACAATGTCTTATCGAAAATATCTGACATAACACTCACTGATGATCTACTAGTTTATCAAAACCATAAGCACAACTGGTTTGGGTTAAAATTTTGTGAACTTGATTGGTACCTTTACCTTAAACCGGAATCAAAACCTGGTCGATATGATATGAAAACTAGGAGTCCCAACCAGTTTAGACTTTTCTGTTTTCAGTTTTCTGGTTGAGCCGATTGCCATTTATTACTGTTGATATGGTTATGGTTTTTACTTTTTTTTTTTGAAGGATTGGAACCAGAGCAGACGTTTTTTTTCATTTGCATTAGATTTGGAACGATTTTTTTTCTATGGTTCCGGTTCAGTTTGAACCGGTTAGATCAGATTAGTAAAGACAATTTGTGTTTTTGATGGTTGTCATTTTGCAGGATAGAAGATGCTATTGAGATACTAGAGCAGGTTCTGAAGCTGAGAGAGGAGAAGCTTGGTACTGCGAATCCGGATTTTGAGGACGAGAAGAAGCGTCTGGCCGAGCTTTTGAAGGAAGCAGGGCGGTCACGGAACTACAAAGCCAAGTCGCTACAGAATCTAATCGATCCAAACGCAAGACCTCCCAAGAAAGGGGCTTCTGCTAAGAAATGGTCCGGCCTTGGTTTCAAGTTCTAAAGAACAAAGTAACCACAATAAATCATTCACACATATTCAATAGTATTATATTAATGTTATTTTATTTGATCTTTTCTGTATCATAAATCTGAGGCTGATAAATTAATTTCCTGTATAGTGTTCTTATTTGAGTTTGGTGATGTACTTCTCAAGTTGGTGAGCTGTTTGTTTGTGTTTGAGAGTTTCTTTATTTCAATCCCTTTTTTCGGAAATTATATTTCTTGCGATCTTGCTGTGCTTGTTTGTATAAATTATGCAGAAGTATCGATACTTGCAAGTCTTTGTCTTTGTCACTTAGTTGTACATGTTTAATTTTCGAATCACTAAAGTACTAGAAGTAAATTGCATGACAAACAAACGCTGATTGAAACTTAATAAGAAAAAAAATGCTAGAATGACAACGGAGGGAGTACAGAATAAATAAATAAATCTATATTATAATGATTCAATTTAAAAGCTCCTTAGGGTGTCTACATAAGCAGAATATGGGTCCTACATATTTATATTAAAATAGATAGTTGTTTTAAAATGGCTACAAACAAAGAATATCAGTTTAGTCAAGTGGTCTAAGATTCCATGTTTGGTCTCCAAGGACATGGGTTCAATTCCCATTGCTCTCATGCATAAACCAATTAATGTTATCATCATAAAAATATTTTTTAAACACACATAGTCTTGGTAAGATGGTTGTTACAAACAATGAAATACACTTTAGCCAAGTGATATAAGGTGTCTAATTAAGTATGCAAGATTGTGGGTTCAAACGACGTAGCTATCATGTATTTTTGATTTTTGTTTTTATTTAGGTTATTATCATATGGGCTTTTTGTTTATAAGGTTCTTATGTTTTTTTTTTGCTTATTGTTTTAAAGATCAAAATAGTTGTATAAACCCTAAGCCTTAATAAGTTCAAACCCAAAATAGTTAAAAATGAATCCAAAACGAATAATATTCACCAGTGCCGTATTTAGTGACTCTCATAAACTGCCTCGTTTGGGTTCTGTATGGGCTCCCTATGGTATGTCCGGATAGCATACCGGTCCTTACAATCAACAGCACATGGATCATAATCGAAGTTGTCTTCATTACCATTTTCTTCGTTTTCTGCGGCTGTCGAAAACAGCGTTTAGTAATAGCCGCTGTTTTAGCGGGTGAAACCATTTTCGTGGTTGTTCTCACAGTGTTGGTCTTCACTCTACAACACACTACCAAAGAGCGTTCGCTAAGCGTTGGAATCATCTGTTGCGTTTTCAATGTGATGATGTATGCTTCTCCATTATCTGTCATGGTATGTTTTGAGGATTAAGTAATAGTTTCAATGTGAATTATTTTTTTTCTCATTTTGGGGTTCTTTCTTTAGTGGTGCATTAATAAGTATTCTATATTTTATGGAAATCAATTTTTGGCTACGTACATAAAACTTGCAACTAGGGTTTTTTCCTTTTCCACGCCGCCGGCTGGCCTCACGCCGGTCGACGAGAAATCTCACTTCCCCCTGTCTTTCTCTCTTCTGTCTTTCCATGGCTTATACTTCTCCAGCCACGCCACCTTCAAAAGCCTCAGATCCGCCAGATCCGCCGCCTCCTTCATCTATTGAAACTCCATCTCCGCAATTAGCCTCTTCGCAGACGTCACCTACCAAAAGTGCAAAGCTTTCTGCATTTTCTTCTCCTAAAGATCTCACAGCAATTAAACTCCAGAAATCTTCGATCCCAGCTGAAATCCCTTCCGCAGCAGTACCTTCGTATGCTGAGCGATTTAAGTCTTCTCTCAGGAACCTCAGAAAAATTTCCTCGCCGTCCTTCTTGGAGGATGGTACTCCGGTGGTTCAAGCTCCAGAGTCAGTACTCTTGAGTACTTCAGATCTTTGGAAAGACCATATCGTCGCTCATTTTCACGGGTCTATCCCTCCTGCTAAGAAGATTTTTGACGATCTAAATCCAGTTTGGGGAAAGTTCGGGAAGATCACCATTCGAGTAACATCGGAAACTTCTTGTCTAATTTTCGTTCCTTCCGTCCAAACTCGTGAATGGATACTGCAAGTTGGGTATTGGCAAGCTGGCCATTGTGCCTTTTCAGTGTTCCCGTGGTCTCCTGATGGCAACTTAGCACCACAAGACCTCGAATCAGCTCCGACATGGGTTATCCTTCGCAATGTCCCTCCTCAACTATACTCTCTTGACGGCATTAGTGTGATAGCTAGCGGAATTAGGGAACCTCTCCATACTGAGAAGTCTCGTCTTGACCCATATAATTTTGGGAATACCAAGATCAAAGTTGAGATTGATCTTCATGGTACTCTTCCAGCTGAAGTTGAAGTTAGAGACTCAGCAGGTTTCGCAGTTAGAGTAAAGGCTGAATATCCAAGTCTGCCTCCTAAGTGTTGCAACTGTGGTCGGTTTGGTCATTATCTCAACCGTTGTTTAATGCCTCCTCAGAAGCGTGTCCATTCTGATTCTTCTTCACATACGATCATTTCATCAAAAGTAGCCTCGGTTAAATCTAAAGTTCCCTTATCCGACAGCAACATTAACCTCAGAACACTTGGCAGTACCAGTGAAGTCAAGGATCAAGAACCAAGCCAGAACTCTATACAGAAAAGGAAGTCCCGCTCGAGGTCTAGAGGTAGAAAAAATTCAATGAATGCTGGTATTCACCAGGAAAATAATTTCAAGACCCGAGTCCTAGAGCAACATTGGGTACCAATAGAAGGTCAACAGATTACTCCTCCGATTTCTACTGAAGATCAAGATGGAAGTAAGTCAGTAGTCAAAGTTAAGGTGGTAGATCAACAAATTGCTCCTCTGGTTGTTACTGTGGACCAAAGAAAGGTTATGAAGGATGATAAGCATGAGGCTGTGATTCAGGCTGAGACAAATAGCAAGTTGATCGAGGTAGTTGAGAATGTGCCTCCTGCTATTATAGCCTCTACGGATGCTAAGGAAAATTCAGAGGAAGAACCTGAAGAAATTCCTTGGGAAATTATGCAATCGAAAAAGAAAAAAAAGAGCTCAACTTCAAGGAGAGTTATGGCGGTCTCCATCAGCCTCCACATCAAAAGCTCTTCGATTCAAAGTCCAAACCCAAGCTGCGGCTTTGGGTAGAAGACTATAACTTTGAAAGCTGTGCTTTCCCTTCTTTTTGGTGTAGATATGAAGGTTTTTAGTTGGAATATTAGAGGATTTAATCATTCGGATCGTCAGCGGACAGTTAGAAGTTGGATTTTTTCCAACCAGCCTGTGGTTGGTGCTTTTTTAGAAACTCATGTTAGAGAGGAGAATGCTAATAATATTATTCAGTCAGTGGTTCCAGGTTGGAGGTCTGTTAACAATTATCAGGAATCAGAGGGAGGTCGTTTATGGGTAGTTTGGGATCCTAATGTCTCAGTAATGATCTACAAAAAATCTGCTCAGTCTATTATCTGTGGGGTTTTTGATCGTGCAACGGGTGTAGCTTTCACTGTTATTTTTGTGTATGCGTTTAATACGGCTATTCAGAGAAGGGAGCTCTGGTCAGAATTGACGGAAGTGTGAAATCTACAAGTAGTTAAGAATCAGCCTACTTTGGTGATGGGGGACTTCAACCAAATATTGACAGCAGATGAGCACTACTCTGTTAATCCTTACATTCTTCCCGTTAGAGGTATGGAGGATTTTCAAGAATGTTTGAATCTTTGTGAGCTTGAAGACCTTGAAACTAGAGGTACTCATTTCATGTGGGGAAATGGTCAACTAGAGGATCCTATTCTTCGGAAACTGGACAGGGTGCTTGGCAATCAGAGCTGGAGAGATAATTTCTCAGACGTCTATGCTTTTTTTGATGCTCCAGGAGACTCAGATCATTCTCCATGCATAGTCGATCTTAATGTCAATTTGAGGAGCAGGAAATGCAGTTTCAAGTACTTTTCCTTCTTAGCTATGCATCCAAAATTCTTAGAAGCTATCAAATCAGCTTGGGAGGAGGAAATTCTCGTCGGTTCCAAACTATTTTCTCTAGGTCAGAGGTTGAACCATGTCAAGAAAGCTTGCAGGAAATTAAACAAAGAAGGTTTCAGTAATATCCAACAGAGATCAAGAGATGCTCTAGTAAAGCTCCAAGATATTCAGTCTCGTCTATTGACTCAACCTTAAGATAGCCTATTTCGTGAGGAGTTTGTGGCCAGAAAGGAATAGAGGTTTTTTGAAAAAGCAGAGGGCATATTCTTTAAAAGGAAATCGAGGATAAGATGGTTAACTCTGGGAGATGCAAATACAACTTTTCATCACAAAACGTGCATAGCTCATCAAGCTCGAAACGCGTATCTAATTGATAATGATGATCAAAGAGTTGACGAGAAAGAAGCAGTTAAAAGTTTGGCAGTGGAGTACTTCCAAACTCTTCTAGGTCAGGAAAATGATGAAGTTCAACCTTTCACAGTCGAAGAACTTAAGGCCATTATCCCCTACCGGTTTCCTCAAGAATGGACTAATGATTTTGTTACTCCTCCATCGGCTGAAGAAATCATGGCAGTTATTTTTGGTATGCCTAAAAGCAAAGCTCCTGGACTCGACGGCGTTCCAATAGATTTCTTCTGGGAAGCTTGGTCGGTAGTAGGTTCTGATACTATAGCCGCGGTGCAGGAATTTTTCTCAAGTGGCAGGATGCTCAAAAGATTTAATGCTACAGCCATTGCGTTACTGCCTAAAGTCACAAGTGCTGACATGATGACTCAATTCCGGCCTATCTCTCTTTGCTCTACTGTCTATAAAGTCATCGCTAGGATTATTAAGAACCATTTAAGGCGTATTATCCCCGATGCTGTTCAGCTTAATCAGGCCGGGTTTGTTCAAGGTCGGCTGTTATGTGAAAATGTGCTGTTAGCGGCAGAGTTAGTGACAGATATTGACAAACCAGATGTTACCACGCGGGGCTGTCTGAAGGTAAATTTATCGAAAGCCTATGATACTGTTCATTGGGGATTTTTGGATAATGTGCTTCAGGCTATGGAAATCCCTCCCATATCCAGGGAATGGATAAGGGAGTGTATAACGACGACCTCTTATAGCATATCTATCAATGGCGAGTTGGCAGGTTATTTCCAAGGTAAGAAAGGTCTAAGACAAGGCGACCCAATTTCTTTGTTGCTGTTTGTGCTTATAATGGATGTTCGTCTGTCGAGACTATTAGACAAAGGCACTGTGGAAAGTACATTTGACCTCCATCCTTCGTGCCAGGCTCCTTTGGTTACTCATCTCAGTTTTTCCGATAATGTGCTAGCATTCTTTGATGGGGCAGAAGAATCGTTGAGAGGAATCCTAAGTATTATGGAGGATTTTAAGAAGGTCTCAGGTTTGTCTATGAATCGCAATAAGACTGAGTTACTTATCGATGGGGGTAGTACTTCACGATGCAGGGAGTTGGCAGAAAGAGTTGGTATTGCTCAGGGATCTCTGCCTGTGAGATATTTAGGAGTCCCTCTATCCTCCCGAATGATGAAGAAATCGGATTTCCAACCTCTCCTCGATAAAGTTACCACTCGATTTAGATCTTGGACGGTCAAGCACCTATCTTATGCCGGCCGCTTGGTTTTAATCAGATCAGTCATCTATTCCAGTATTACCTTTTGGGCGACTATTTTTATCTTGCCAAAGGAATGTGTGGACGCTTTAGAGCGTATGTGCAATGGCTTCTTATGGAATGGGGACTCGAGTTCAGCAAGAGGGGCTAAAGTGTCTTGGGACTCTGTGTGTACTCCTATAGCTTGTGGAGGTTTGGGTTTGAAACGAATTGCTGAGTGGAACCAAGTTCTTGCTCTTAAATTGGTGTGGTTAATTTTCTCTAAGAACTGTTCATTGTGGGCTTGTTGGATTCGAGTGAATATGATAGGAAACGAGAATTTATGGACTCTTCAAGTCCCACAAAGAAGCAGTTGGATCTGGAAAGCGATTTGCAAGTTATGTCAGATTGCGAGACAGTTTGTGGTGTGTGAAGTTGGATCAGGGATCACAGCAAGCTTTTGGGAAGACTCCTGGACGCCTCTAGGTCCACTGATTGAGATTACAGGACCCGAAGGACCACAAGTCACTGGTTTACCCATCGGCGCTACTGTGGCTGATAGTATTAGGGATGGAAATTGGTGGCTATCGAGTATGAGAACTAGAAATCCTCTAATCCAGTTATTGAAGCAATGTTTGCCCTCAGCAGATCCCATAGTTAGCTCGGAAATGGATGATACATACGCTTGGAAAGTAGGAGATCAAGCCCCTGTTCAAAAGTTTCTGTTGGGCCCGAATTTAGCCCGTTAGCTGAATTAATGGGCCGAGTAGT